GGCGACGGAGGCACCTGGCCCCGCGCGCCGGCGGCGGCGGCGGCGGCGTAGGCATCCTGCGATCCGGCCTGCTGGGCGCGGCTGCTGCGGTCGAGCGAGTAGTGGCGCCCCTCGTTGTAGCTCGCCAGGCCGCCCTGGTTGATGGCGCCAAAGGCAAAGTTGCGCGACGCAAAGCGCTCCGGCCGCCCTCCGTCGTCGAGGCTGTCGTCGCGCGACTCGAGCGAGGCGTGCGTCGGCGCGGCGTCGCTGCCCAGCCGGGACACGTCGAGCTCGAGCCGGTCCACCTCGTCGGCAAAGCTCTGGGCGAAGAAGCGCTGCAGCGTGTCGTGGAACGGCCGCATCTCGGGCGGGCACAGCTGGGCGTGGAGGCGGATGCACCGGAAGATGACGAGCGCCTGCTCGTCGATGGCGGCCCGCAGCCGCGCCAGCAGCTCGTCCTTGTCCGGGTTGGCCTCGGCGTAGGCGGGCGCGAAAAACGCCCGCTTGTACATCGGGATGCCGCCGTTGACGGGCGCGTCGACGGCGCCGTTGAGCGCCATCGAGAGGCGGTTGGTGTTGATGCGGCCGCCGGCGGACGCCGACGCAGCTCCGGCGCCGCCCGCACCCGCGCCCGCACCCGCTCCGGCGGCCACCTTGCCGAGCGCGCCGTACTTTTTCTCGAGCGTCTCGAGCTCGTCGGTCTTTGCCTGGACGTCGTTGAGCGCGTTTTCCAGCGGGCTGATCTCGACGACGTAGACCTCGGCCACCTCGCTGCGCCGCAGCACCGTCGGGAACGCGTCCTCGCAGCGCAGGTAGGTCTTCTCGACCCACACATCCTGGAACTCGACCGCGGCCGGCTGCGACTCCGCCGCCGCCCTGGGCGCCGGCAGCGGGCGGGTGAACGAGAAGAGGTCGGTGGCGTTGTGCTCGTAGTAGGCCCGCACGATGGGCGCGACCTCGGGGTTGGTGAAGATGTCCTTGGTGCGGTCCGGCTCCGGCTGGAGCGCCGTGACCTGGAGGAACTGGGCCTCGGCGTGGCGGACGTCGTCGCCGGGCGCGCCGGTGCTCTTGATGAGCGTCGCCTTGGGGTGCTTGGCGTGGAGCCGGTCGCAGAAGGCGGCAAACTTTTCCCACTCGAGGCCGCGGCAGACAAACATTTTGTTCTGCATCGACGCCGGCCAGCCGAGGCCGTAGTAGGCGACGCGGAAGTACGACGGGAAGGTGCGCTCGGTCGTCGAGATGCGCTGGTAGAGGGCGGCCTGGTGCTGCAGCACCTCGGCCAGGCGGGCGTAGTTGACGCTGCGGTACTCGTACTGCTGCGCCAGCTCGCGGCAGATGTCGATGGCAATCTCCCACGCCTCGCCCTTGGCGAGGTATTCGAGGATGAGCATGTAGAGCGTCTCCTTGCGCGCAAAGTGCGACTGCTTGGGCAGGTCGAGTTCCGGGATGGGCTCGACGAAGCTGTCCATGTCCCACGTGTGCAGGTCGGCGTGGAGCTTGAGCGTCAGCGCCGCCTCGACGTAGTTGAGGTTCTCGAGGTGCAGGTTGGCCAGGCGCAGCACGTGGGTCGAGAAGGCGGCGACGCGGTTGGCCTGGCGCAGGAAGCCGAGCAGCTTGAGCGTGCCCGCGATCCGGTCGTCCTCGTAGCCCTCCTCGAGCGGCAGGCTGCGCACGCTGAGCAGCAGGTCGAGGAAGCGGTTGACCGAGACGAGGCACGCGTGCACCTGCTCGCGCAGCCGCTCGTCGACGTGCGGGCTGTCGAAGAGCGAGCGCAGCTGGCCGATGAAAAAGGCGCGCGAGATCTCGTCGCCCTTGGTGTCGGTCATGAAGAGGATGTCGAGCTTGTCGATGATCTCGGCCTCGATGACGGTAAAGTCGCCGTTGAGGTGCCACTCGGACGTGATCATGGTCGCCAGCACCCGCACCGCGCACGTGCGCAGCTCGTCGTGGTGCGACAGGCACAGCTCCAGCACCGGCTCGACGAGCGAGGGCACAAACTGCACCTGGAAGCCGCCCGTGTTCATCTGGTCGTCGCCGCCGTTCCTGTCGCCATTGGCGAGGACGTCGGAATCGGTGCTGGCCTCGAGACTCCCGCCGCCGCTGCCGCCGGCGCCGGCGCCGGTCTGCTGCTGCTGTTGCTGGAGATCGCCCTCCTTCGGCAGCTTCTCTGGCCAGCCGATCGACGTCCAGAGCTTGGCAAAGATCTGGGCGCCCTCGCCGCGGATGTCACCGGCGAGGCGCCACACGGCCCTGCGCCGCTGCGGCTTAAACTGCTCGATGACCAGCTGCTCGCTCGACAGCAGCGTCAGGAGCATGCCGAGCCCGGAGCGCCAGAGCTCGGTGTCGAAGCTCGGGCTCCGGTCGGCGGGCGGTATAAAGTCGCGCACCAGCATCGCCGCCAGCGGGTCGGCCATCTTGAGCACCATCTGGTGGGCGAGGATGTTGATGTTGAGCCAGGTGGCGGGGAAGGCCTCGTTGAGCAGGATCGACGACGCCACCTCGAAAAAGTTGGACAGGAACTTGCCGCACAGCTCGTGGCCGCCGAGGTCGCGCTCCTCTTCGAGGAAGCTGGCGAGGTGCTTGCGCGGGCTCAGCATGATGAGCGCCATGAGC